TAACAACACTTTACCATATTCGTGGCATTCGTGTCGGGTTAACATTTAAGTGATTTTCAGTCGTATTTGACCATTAGATTATCATGTATAGGATACTTCAATTAAATATGTTTATCGTAGGGTTCACTTGAATTCTCTTCCGAATTACCTTCCTGAAATTCCATCAGATTTGCTTTAGAATTCTCTGAACTTCTACTCATAATCCACATAATAGTCTTTTCGGAACTACTTTGAGGTGATTTTTAGTTCTCCTTACAATTTTATTGAAATACTACCCGAAATATCCTGGAACTTACATTTCAGTAAAATTTCTTTCGAACATTCCTTAAAACTCATAGCATTCTTATCAACATTCTGTAAATAATTCCTCAGTGTCATAATGCTCAAATTTTGTCCAAGTCTTAAAGCCATATTTTTGACGTAGGACTACGTCTTTGATTTCTATATGGGGGTACACTTTGTGAAAACCGAAAATGGAACATGTAACAAATTAAGAAAGATTTTGAACGTTAATAACAATGCTTCCAAATGTTGATTTTCAACAAGAAACTATTGAAAACTGGTAAATGTCCAGCATTGTCCAAAAGCGTCGAGTTAACTTAAAAATCCACCAATTACCTATACATGCATAGGGTGCTTCCCCAGCACAGTCGTCAGAGAGTAGTAAGTACACGAAACAAGTCGAAGTGGCATTCGCCTCCGATCCTCGGGCGCGTGCGAATAGGGAGGATGGAATTGCGTAATATTTTGCACACTTATCGCCATATTAAGAACCAAACGCAAATTCTTCGAGATAACTACCATCCGTCGTCTGGCTCGTCGTGGCGGTGTTCTGAAGGTGAAGGTGTTCTTGAAAAATGAGATCCGTGATACTGTCACCTACACTAAACACGCCAAGTGTAAGCGGCCATGGATTTCATCTACGTTTTGAAGTGACAGAGGCGCACTCTGTTTGGTTTCGGAGGTTAAATCATCACCAACTTTGACAACAAAACGGTTCTTTTCAGGGCCACCAATCTTATTACAGTAAAGATTAGGAATAGTATTCATCTGCCTGTTTGTCCATATTCAGAACCAACGATCACACAACATGCTCATGTAATCAAACTGGAAGCAGGGGTACAAATTATTTTGATCAACCTTGATCCACTTTGAATCGCCACGGCCGGATATTTTCGATGTAAGAAGCAACAATCTAGCATCTAATTCGACGAAGACGACAGGAAACATTTGTGAAGCCGAGTTATTTACGTAAGAGAGTTGAGAGAGACCTATTGAAAAGTGACGCGAGATATGTTTTCCGTACTGAGCTCCAATGCTACCGACGCTCTAGGTTTCTTATGGTTTGTTTACGTTTGGAACCAGTTATGCAAGGTAGGCGACGATTGTTCGTATTTGACAACTACCTCCCCCTTACTTAGAACATGCCGGTGAGATTGGACTCCTAATATGGACCAACAGGTCTGTGCCATAAAAATGGAGAGATTGGACTCAGGCCTGCCGCGGTGAGAGGTAATCACCCTAACCACCGGCGCCGATATATTTCAAGGTGATATCACGGCGAATGAGATCGACCCAAATTTGAGTTTAGTTAGAGTTAGAGTTTAGTCAGAAATAAGAAATAAAGTGCAGGAACTCAGCGATGAGTAAATTTGCCTCATGTTTTCCCAGGTTTTTCCAGAATTTTCCATGGAATAATTCCAGAATTTGAGAAAAGTAAAGATTGGATTCACTCAGTCTATTGGTACTACTCCGAGACTGAATAAAATTTTCATCAATTTCCTCATTTTCTGGCAGATTTTTAGGGTTTTCCACAGGAAACCATGAGATAAATTTACTCATCGCTGAGTTCCTGCACTTTTGGCGATTATGAGTGAACTAAACTCAAATTTGGGTCGTTTTCATTCGCCGTGTACGCAAAAGGAAAAAAGCCAGTGTCGCTACTTGATAGCAAACTACTCATAATGGGAGGAGTCTTTGTAGCTTTTATACCACTTGGTTGTACATCATTCTGCTTTACTTGAAAAGATATAAAAGAGCGCCGCTGTATGGCATTAGCTCATTTTCGATTCGGACGGCGTGGTGAACAGCAATAGCAGCAGTAGGAAGGTGGTGGCTAGTCCACTCCTTCACACCTAACAAGCAAAATTGACTGGCGCCAAGCGTCATCGCAAAGTTCTTCGAGATAACCGCCATCGGTCGTCTGGCTCGCCGTGGTGGTGTCAAACGTATCTCCGGTCTGATCTACGAGGTGTGCTGAAGGTGTTCCTGGAAAATGAGGTCCGTGATACTGTCACCTACACTTAACACGCCGTGCGTAAGTGGCCATGGATGTCCTCTTCAATAAAACGGCCCGTTTCAGGGCCATCAAGCTTACATCAGTAAAGAGTTGGAATAGAATTTATCTGTGCTTGTTTGTCCATATTCAGAACCACAAGCCCTAACGACCACACAAAATGTTCTCCAGAGTTGTAATCTTGTAACCAAACTTGGAAGCAGTGGTGCAAGTGATTTTGATTGATTTTCTTAATCAACTTTTTCTTTGAAAAAAAGTACTACAAATTTAGTACGCCTACAATTCAAAAAAAAGAAAGAGTTGAGATAATAGATAGTTGATCAATGGGCCGTTCGTGTCCCTAGGCACAGACCTTTCTACTTTTTTATCTGAAATGTTGAAAATAACGTTATGTTTGAAATTTCGATAAGTTCAAGAATGTGAAACTGGCTTTACCTCAAAGTCTTGAAAGCTTTTTTTATGGAATCACCAACCAATTTCTTTGTTCAAGTTAGTGTTATGCAAGTTATCAAAAGTGTTATTCCGTAAATTTTATTGTTTTGTATAATAATCTATAAGTTCAATCTATCACTTTAAAACATTCATTTTAATGACTTACTCGGCCCAATAGCGTTTCAATTTCGGACTTCATAAAACTATCGAAAATTAAATTTGACAATTAGTTGCGATATAAGCCACATGTATTTCAAAATTGTAGTGTCCTCCCTGATATTAGTACATGCATTTTTGTTTTACATGATTTTCATGTTTTTGATTCTGTCTTCATTGAGGATGAGAGTAGAGATTACAATACCCACCATCCTATTTTTCTTTTATTAATTTAGAAAGAGGAAGAGAGATAGAGACGATTGAGTAATTTTCTTTTATTTCCACTAACTTGATTGTTTATCCTTGACAGCTACGCGTATTTCGTCGTTTCTCGTTTCGTGCAGACTTCTTGTGTGTCGAGTCCAGTATTAGTACAAGACACTGAAGAAGTCTGCCCATTGTAGATGAAATACGCGTATCTATCAAGGATAAGTAATTCTCGCAATCTACATCTACAATAACGCGGCTCCAAAAACATGTTCAGCTGTTCTTATCGTCCAATACGCTTAATAATACTTTCTTTTAACAGACTACGTAGAAAAATTAGTCTGAAATATGAATGCAGCCAAGTTTTTAACGAAAAAGAGCGTCGATGAAAAGCATCGGTCAATGTAGATTGGGGCCTCCCTTAGCTCAGTCGGTAAAGGCGCAGCTACAAAGCAAGACCATGCTGGAGGTGGCTGGGTTCAATTCCCGGTCCGGTCTGGAAAATTTCTCGACTTCCCTGGGCATAGAAGTATGATTGGACTTGCCACACAATTATACCAATGCAAAAATGGTACAGACATCGAAAGCTCTCAATTAATAACTGTGGAAGTGCATCTAGAACTCTAAGTTGAGAGCACGCAATATGCAATAAGCTTGAAATGCGAAGAAGAAGAAGAAGATTGGTCTATTTGAAAAGTGACGCGTGAATTAAGGCAGTGATTACTAATCCTTCTCTCTTTCTACAAAAACATCTTCCGACTGAACAGTATTAGTAAGTTTTCTGTTGCCTTGAGCATACGTCTTCAAGGTGGTAGCCGCCTTTCTTCATATCAGAATCCTCGTTAAAACACCGAATGCTGAGATTACATAACTGTTTTCCCAACTTCAATTCCTGCAAGATCTGTTGTCACATGTTTTTGAAGAATCCTTCAACGATCCTCAATTTGCAGAATTTATATTTGCAACGATTGATTAAAGATGTTGCACATGTTTCTTCCAAATCTTGTTGAATAATCTTAACCCAATGATGGTAACCCTAACCCCAGCGAATTATAACGGATGACCAGAAACAAGTAGGTACGAAACGTAAGATGAGGGACGGAGCGCGAGAGGGCGTCTAGCACAACAACGTGCTCCCCGCGGCGTGAAAAGAGGCAGCCGAGTACCAAAAGATAAAAGAATTGCGCGAACGAGTTTTCCTTTATTTTTGAATCATTATTATCTTGAAAATGCCCGTTTCTGTTAGGCTTTTCAGTGTGCTTCGTGTGGAGTATAAATTGAAAACAATTTAAAACAACAAAAGCGTGTGTTTCGAAAAACACACTCAGCTCACTTACACTCGCACAGGCACTTTTGTGTGTGATGCCCAAAGTGGAGTCTGGGTTGTGTGAAAATAGTGCACCCAAGTCTGTGAGCTTGCGGGGAGTGGAGTAGAGAGCCGGCAGGAAGAGAATACAACACAACAGACAAGTGAAAAGAGGTGAAACAATTGCTTCTGGTTCCCCTCGCTATCAGCTTCTGCATTCAAAATGCTTGTAAATTGCAACAATGTAGCGGGCAACGAGCGAGCGGCTGGGGAAGAGTTTTGTACTTGGTCCGGTTAATCAACTTTAACACAAAACCAATTACAGTTGACAAATGGTACCGAAACTCGAATTAATTTCGCTGTGCAACAAAAGACTCAAAGTGCAAAATTTACCCCCAAAAGCAGCGCGTATTTTACGAAGAGCCCAATTCCCGCCGCATAAAAAGAAAACACATTTCACCATCGCAGCATCCATTGAAAACCCGCTTTTCCACGCCGCCGCCGTCTTTGATATTAGCACAGAGCCCCCTCTCACTGTGTGTGAGTGGTTTTCTTATACACTGAATGTTTATTTCTCTTCTTTGTTTCTGTTCTCCCCGGAAGGTTATCAACACCAATCTCGGTATCTCGTCTCACTGCCGCCTGCTGATGCTGCTGCCGCTGTCCAGTCCAGTTGTCTGTGTATTGGTACGGCGAAGAGTTGGATGCTGTGAAGATTACCAAAACAATCCACAGAAGGGAGCCCGAAAACAAGTTTTTGCGCATCCCTCGGCGAGATAGAGAGCGAGCGTTTTGTGGAGGAGAGAGCGAGCGTTGGTATTAGTGAATCGCGTACACCAGTGTAAATTCTGCACACCTGTGCACTTTCGGTGTTGTTTTGGAAAAGGAGAATCCAACGAAGGGTTCCGAAAAATAAAGAGAAGAAGCATACAGAAAAGTAGCCCACCCGGTTTACTTTGACCGTAAACAGAGAAGTGTTTGGTAAGCATAAAACCAGCATCCGACCGACGAACGGTTGCAAGTGTGTCCGTCAAAACAAAAACGCGTGTGCGGTGTAGTTCTGAGGACGAAAAGTGTGGTGCAGAAGCGGGCGCGGAAAGGACGTGTGTAGTAAATTGTTATCCAGTGCACAAAGATAAAGGCTATTCGCGTACACACGCCGGAAGAACGTGACATCGTGAACGCTGAGCCACCGGGCAGCATTATAGAGGGTAAGTTTGTCATCTGAATCCATTGGTTCTAGAGTTTCATTCAACCCTTTTCAGCGCAACATTTCTTGTGGGGATGGCTAGAATTACTAGATGATGGAAGGTTGTGACGTGATATCTAAATACATTTTTTTTTTGCGAGATGGTTGAAATTGGTTTGCCTAGGAAAATCGATCTTTTTCTGAAGGATTTTGGATGGATAACTCGTACTATGAGATGAGTCAACAACAAGTAGTCGGTTGAAGGTGGGTTGGAAAGTAATGATTGGACATATCGATCTTTAGTAATCTTTTTCTAGATCATCGATAAATTTATTCAAATTTGATGTCTACAATATTCTTACATTCGAGAAATGCACGTATGCATTATTTTGAGTATTCCTCGTACGTTATTGTGAAATTATTGCGATTGATTACGCTGTCTTATTTTTTTTCTCGAATAACCTTTAAAGCATTGAAAGTCTCTATAGCTTATGTGTCAATGTCATTGATGGAGATTATGGCAAAAAACAGGGGTGTCAATCATCATGACTTCATCGCTTCCGTGCCATCAGCCAGTGTATTTTTGAACTTCTTATTTTTTTGCTACATCATCTCAAGTCACAAGTGGAGGCATTTATTGCTGCGAAATGTGCTTAATAAGTTGACTTCGCTGATGTGTTGGCGTTGAAAAACTATACTTTTTCCCAGTTTGTTATTTATACCAATTGTAATTGTTGGAATCACAAGTGAAGTAACAAAGATCAATTTGTTCGCATTGAATGAATTGTCCGTTCCGGGGTTATTTAAATAAAACCAGTTGCTGAAATTAACACAATAACTTAGATTTTTGCTCAGTCATCCGCAGTACTCAACAGCGTGGGGCCACCATTGCCGCAAAAAGTAAATGGCATTAAACAATCAATGTCATCCATTATCATCCAAAGATCGCTTCATTAATAAACGGTTGATTCATTCTCTTTTGAAATGCTGCTAGGGAATGGAAGATGATATTTTAAAAGAATGGAGCGTTCTACGGCATTCCATTCGTTCTAATAAAAAAAAGGGGTTGTGACCGAGGCATGATTGAATTATTCATATTATTGCTGATTTTCAATTTAATCAAAAATTCAAAAGCTTCTCTTTAAGCTCTCTTAGCTCTTAGCTCTTTCAGATTCAATTTTCAGTAACTGAATAATTTTCATGATGCTTTTTGAATATTTAAACTGGTTGTTAGATGCTAAATTTAAAAGTCATCGAAGAATGCTCTGACATCAACTGAAACTCTGATGTTTTTAACATTTTAACAGACAAATCCGGAGCGATTCTTGACTTGACATTTCAAGCTTATTGCTTATCGCATATTAGCTTATTGCGTGCTCTGAACTTAGTGTTCTAGATGCACTTCCACAGTTATTAATTGAAAGTTTTGGATGCCTGACCATTTTTGAATTTGTATAATTGTGTGACAAGTACAAGTTGAAAAAAATTCCAATCCGAAAAATTCCTAGACCGGTCCGGGAATTGAACTCAGCCACCTCCAGCATGGTCTTGCTTTGTATCTGCGCCTAAAAAACTATACCAAATGACCAAATTTCTCTACCTAAGTATGTTGTTAGTTTCCGAAACTGAGCCTTTATTCGCAAGAAATCGGTGAGTTAGTTGACAAAGGCAACTCCGGAAAACTTTTTCAACAGTAACCAAGGGGTAAGTCACTCAGCACAGTGTACCGAAAGTAGATTCGGCAAGCTGTGCCATCCATCGGCACACCCTCGGCACAATCTCGAAGGCATTGGATTATTCATTAAATAAAATGGGAGCACTGCTGGACAGCTGTCATTGAAGTTGATCATAACATCAAGTGCTGTTTGACTGTGTATTTCAGAAACATACTCTAATTGAATATACTAGAGGAACTCAGATCAGCAATTCAATTCTCGGTTCACGTTTAAATTCGAAATGAAGGCTTCCGAGTCATAAGTCTTTCAGTTACTACGCAACTGGAGTATACTACGAACCGAAATGCAAGAACAATTTGGATGGATTTGATCATGCAGTGGTGGCGGTTGTATACGGAAAATCTCAAAGAAGAATATTACTGGCTAATCAAGATCTCCTGGTTCAACTACTGGGGCAACGATGGATATGCTTTGATGGCGGTGAAGGGTAAAAACTGTGCCCTTACCACCAGGGTGCCTTCCATTCATTTTGACTAAAAAAATGTTTTAGGAAATTGTGGAATAGTACGATATTATGATGGTATTTTGTATGTGTAAGGAACAAGACAAATTTTTAAAGTTTGTGTTTGACACATAAAACCTGCAAATTTAGCTTTGACAGAGCTACAATGAGCGATTTTCTGATCGCCTCTTCGCGAAGAGTGAAGAGTGAAGAGTGGGTGAGATAAATGACAAAATCGCTTATTGCGACTCTCATGCAGCAACATTGGCTGGTATTATGTGTCAAACACAAACTCCACAATCTTTTCTTGTTGCTTACACAAACAAAATATTATTATAATATCTTATCATTCCATAATTTAATAAAACATTTTTTTAGCCAAAATGAATGGAAGGAACCCTGCTTACCACCGTTGCGACGTTTGTAAATTTTAAGTAAGATTTCTGTTTAAATTAGAATTAAGTAAAAGAGTAGTTTTAATAAAAAATTGTAAGCTAATTAGGTTGAGTGGAAGCAATACAAATTCCATGCGATTGTGCCGTCAAAAGTAGTTCGGTATTGTTCAAGTGAGTTTGGTTTGGTAGATGACCAACTGACCGAGTGCTGGTGATTTGCTGCTGAAAAGTATACTATAGGGTCCTTACAAGGCCACAATTTTTATTGCTTCCACTCAACCTAATCAACTTACAAATTTTAAACCGAATTTTACTGGTTGAGGTACTATGATCGAATTCTCCCGGAACTTCGATGGCAAAACCGAACGTCTTAGCTTGGGATCCTCCATCTTGCCATAATCCATTCCGAAGTCGAAAACCTCCGAAAGCTTCTTGCCCGGAATCATCACCTTCAGCAGTTCCTCTTGCAGATTGAGCAGAAAGGTGTAGTGCTGCTGAATCGTTTCCGTCGGATTGACTAGCAACGTTCGGACTACATTGGAGCAGTAGGACTTGTAACGCGCACCTAGAGCACAGATGATCGCTCCGAAGTGCAGATAGTTCTTGTCGCTGAATGCACTGAACTTCAAGCTGTAATTGCCACCCGACTGGATAATCGCCGCGTAGCACATGTCCAACTTGTCTTTGACGAAAGCTCGCCACGATTCACAGAATTCACGCGGGAAGTGGTCCTTGGAGAAGACGCCCAAAGTTGTGCCATCCTTGGATCTCTTGATCGCCTTCAGCAGCTTTTCAAAATTGGCCTTCTCTTTGTCGTTCTTATCCCGAACCAACAGCTTCAAGGACGGAATGCCTTCCTCTCCGTCCTTCTCGATCTGCTTCAAGAAGTTGATCTTCTTCTTGTTGGTCAGGAAAAAAATGGACTATTCGCACAGCACCGTAATCGTATCGGTCAGCTCGTATCCCAGCAGCCAGGTCTGCAGCAAGATGGATTTGTTGTAGATGGTTTCCTCGTCTACGCCGACCGCCGTCAGAATGCAATCCACCTTTTGCAGCGAATCATCATGGGAAAACTCTTGTTCCCTCCAGTTGGCGTAGAGGCGTTTTATTCGTCGGTAGAAGGAATCCTTATCGAGCACGATATTCGGTATTTTCGGGGCCGTTCACGGGTCATCTCGCCAGCATTCCTCAGTGGTTGTCGCTAGATCGCTGTTATCCTTGCGATGGCAAACCAAAACATTCATGCTGTCAGAAATACCGGGTTGCCAAATATACCATAGTATTCATATTTTACAAAAAATCACAGCTTGCTCTATGACTGGCACTGCCGGCGCAATCGGCACACCTGCGGCACACTGAGAAATTTTTTGACCCAAAATTGGTGTGCAGAGTGACCTACCTTCTTCTTCTTCGCATTTCAAGCTTATTGCATATCGCATATTAGCTTATTGCGTGCTCTCAACTTAGTGTTCTAGATGCACTTCCACAGTTATTAATTGAGAGCTTTCGATGCCTGTACCATTTTTGCATTGATATGATTGTGTGGCAAGTCCAATCATACTTCTATGCCCAGGGAAGTCGAGAAATTTTCCAACCCGAAAAATTCCTAGACCGGACCGGGAATCGAACCCAGCCGCCTCCAGCATGGTCTTGCTTTGTAGCTGCGCCTTTACCGACTGAGCTAAGGGTGACCTACCTACAGGAACTTATTTCTATAGTCGATCCAAATTTATCAATTTTAATAAAAAAAAATTCCTGATTGAAATACGCTTAACACACAACTTTTGCTTGGTAATAAACGAGTGAAGAGTTAAGACACCAAGTTACTGAAATGTTTCGTTTGGGAGTTACTATTTTTTCCCGCTACATGCCATACCTAGTCCACTCTGCAATTTAATTTTTCAGCAAAAGTTCTGCATTTTTGTATTCTATATGCATTTACGTCAGGAATAGAATATAACCTTGTGGATGATGCACATTCTACTTTACAACCCCCTGATCATCACTGCTCTTTCAACGCGTATTGAGGTCCCCTACAACTACGGAACGATCCTATGCATTTGCTTACCAAAAATCAGCACCAAATGATCACCAAAAAATCATTTTAAGTCGGATATTTTTGAAACTCTCAGGGAATAAATAAACACATATTAGCTATGTTTTTGCAAAGTTGGTTTATTCAATCTCCTCTCCTAGGCTAAATGCCTGCACCATGGACTTAACGCTACCCATCAAATCCAGCGCAACACTTGCGCCATCTTTCTTACACACTTTCATCCACTCTTTCTTCAAATCCTTGTCGTTTTTGAAGACCTGCCTGTCTTCCGGAGCTTGCCCTTCATAATCGCCCAGAATTTTTCCATTAGGTGAAATTGCGGATTTGCCTCCTTAGGCACAATAACAACATCGTTGGCTTTGTACCACTCCGTCATCGGTTTCACGTAATGGCACGATGCC